GTGTGGGGAGAAAGGAACCCTTCTCCATTGCTGGTGGGAGCGCAGACTGGTGCAACCACTGTGGAAGTCAGTGTGGAGATACCTCAAAGAACTAGGACTGGAAGTCCCATTTGACCTAGCTATTCTCCTGCTGGGTATCTTCCCAAAAGAATTAAAAGAATCATACCACAGCAATATACGTACACCCATGTTTATAGCGGCACAGTTTGTAATAGCTAAAGCTTGGAAACAGGGCAAGTGCCCATCAACTGGAAAGTGGAAAAAGAAGATGTGGTTTTTCTATAAAATGGAGTACTACTCACCCACAAAGAGCGAGAAATTAGAGACATTTATAGCTAAATGGATGCACATTGAGGCCATCCTCTTAAGTGAAATAAATAGGACACACATGTGTAAATACCGAATAGTATCTCTAGTGTGAGAAACTGAAAGTGTAAATAAGGATTAAAATGATTAAAACCAATAATTGATAATTTGAAATATTAAAAGCTCCAAAGGTGTAGGGGTGGTGGGAGGGGAAGGGAAAAGGAAAGAAGGGAAAGGAAAAACTATGAGAAAGAAAAAAATGGAAACGAAATCTATGTAAATAGGGAAGGGTGGAGGGGGTGAAGGGCGCACAGGTAATGGGGAAAAAATAAGAACCAAGGTTCATCATGTACAGGTACAAACACCCGATGATAAACGTAAACGTACTGTTCACCTGAAATGGACCAATAAAAGAATTTTTTTAAAAAAAGCAGAGTTCTGGTACACACAGCACCCTGGTGAAGCCGCCACCTAGCGGCCTGACCCCATCCTGCGCTCACGCTGGCTCCACACCTGGCCCGCCCAGCACTCGGTGGGATGCTTTCCACAAATGCCTCCAAATTTACATAACTTAATAATTAACGTAATTAGTTACGTGGTTGAGTAATTTAAGCTCAGATGCATGGCATTTACTTCGTGTGACAGCGACACAGCACGTCTGGCGACCTGAAAGCCCCACGCTTGCACCTCACCGGCCCGGCCTCCCTCCGGCGGCAGAGCCAGCAGGGCCCAGGGCCCCTTCTTCCTCTTACCGGCTCGTCGTCTGGAAGCAGGAATGCAAGCCGACCAGGAAGGGGTTGCTGGACGCCTGCTCGAACACGTGCTTCTCTGTCTGCACCCAGTCGATGTCCTGGAAGAGACACCGGGGTGATGAGGCTCCCAGGCACCCGTGGGGTCCTGAGCAGGCGCAGGACAGAAGGGGCAAGGGGCAGGCAGTGCGCACAGGAAAGAACGCGCCCATCGGGAGTGCCGCAGTCGGGCTCCAGCCCCTTGCCATCTTTGGTGCGCCAACCCAGCCTCTGCCCCACCAGCACTGCAGCCACCCTGCCAGCCTCTGGCCTCTGGATTTGTGCAATCCCTGCACGCCCAGGAGGTTGGCATTGCCTCCCCTTAGGACAGACTCGGGGTGAGTGAGGGTGCGGGGCTGAGCAGGTCCCCAAGGTCCCGCCTCTGTCTCCTGCTGGCTTTGGGCCAGAGCTCAACAGAATGCTGTGAGGTCAGAGAGCACTTAGGGTCTCGCCAGACCCACCGCAGCCCCAGGGGGCAGAGCTGGACGAGACCCCAGCACCCGGGTCGCCCCTTGTCTGAGGGGTAGGAATGAGAGGGGCAGGGACGAGCTCACCAGGGGCTCGGGCTGAACCCAGCGGGCGGCCGCCACTCCGCCACTCCTGTACCCTCACACCCCCGGCCACTCTGCCAGCAGCCCCATGACTGCTGGAGACAGGCGCCTGCACGGGGGCTGCGTGGGCCCTGCAGGAGCGCGCCTGTACCCAGCGACACCTGGCACCTTGTGGGCTGATGCTACAGAGAGGGGGCCGACAGCAACGCCCGGGAACAGGTGAGAGGAGCGTGGTCCGGACAAAGGGTTCACGCAAAACCACCAGTGTGGGGAAGCCAGGTGCAGATAGGAACATGGGATGAGGCCACAAGGTGCAGTGCAGCAGGGGATCCAGGGTGCCGGGGTGGCTGGGGGAAAGGGCAGGAAGTGGGCGCCGTGTCCCGGGGTCTCAGCTCTGTGTGAGCAGGAGCAGGGGGCGCGGGTCCAGGAGGACCTGACAGGCTCTCGGCCTCCCTCGCTCGCATTCAAGGCAGAGCGCAGGGAGGACCCACACAGGAGGGCTGGGGCGACAGGGGAGGGAAACACCAGGCCCACCCCGAGGGCACATGGACCCGGGGACAGTGTGGTGGGCACGTCTGACATCTTCAGGACCCCAGGGTCTCTGCGGGCCTGCACACACACGTGCACCCACACAGCAGTGCACACACTATGCACACCTGGCCTCCCCGCCCGCCACCTCCCACTTCTTGAGACTGCACTGCTCACGAGCAGACCTTGGCTCCATCTTGGCCGGTGGACGGTTGGAAAAGGCCAAGAGAACAAAGCCAAAGCACGGACAAAACTCTGAGCCTTTCTCCTCCCACTCTGCAAACCTGACCCTGTGTACTCCATTAGCTTTTTGGCTGGCCTGGTGTGCTGGAAGGGGGGTCAGGACCCTCGTGTGATGCTGCCAACCAGCAGGGAGCCACCTTGGAGCCTCAGTTTCCTCAGCTGTAAACGCAGGCACCACCCACTTGCCAGCACAGCACCTAGGGTTGAGGGCCCAGTTCAGCAGGCTGTGCACTGCACAAATCCACCTGCTGGGAGGGAAGGAAAGGCTCAAATCCAGCCCCTGCCTCGAGCCCTGAGCCTGCCCCTCCTGAGGCCTGGGGAGCTCCAGGTCACCAGATGTCCAGCCGCAGTGAACAGTAGCAGCCCCACCGCTAGCTACACATCAGCCTTCTCTCCCTGGACAGGACAAGTGCTCAGGTATGGATGCTGGAAGCCCAGCATCAGGAGGAGCAAAGCAGCCCACGGTGAGCACCACACACCCCGGCCAGGGTGGCTGCTAAGGCAGCAAGAAAGCGGGAAGGACGTGGAGAAGCTAGCTGGAAGCCGTGCAGGGCTGGTGGGAAGGAGCGCGGAGCACGGGTCCTGAACGGGCTCCGGAGAGAGGCAGGGGCACAGCGGTCAGGGGCACGACCAGCTCCCGGGGGTGCAGCCTTAGGCTGCAAACACGGCTACTAAAAGGAAAAGCCAGACAAGCAAACCCTAATCAGTCCAGAGTCCTGCCGAGAGGAGGCAAGTCCCTCCTAGACTCCTAGACTCGCACACAGGGGCCCGAAGGCACACAGACACCGCCCTGCTACCCCCAGGGACACGGACTCCGTCCAAGGGCGCAGCAAACACACCGGGGTCTGCACATGAGCAGTCTCAGCCTCGGGAGCACGTGTGGTGCCTGCCAGGGCGCACACCGGCGTGACACTGTGCTGAGAGACAAGCCAGGCACGGGCCCCAGCCTAGGCACCGCAGGGCCGTGCCCGAGACAGAGCAGGACAGCGAATGCTGGGGGCTGGGGGACAGGTGGCAATGGTGACGCGTGGGTGAAGAAGACGCCTGGAGCCAGACGTGTGCGTTCTGCCACATGGCACTACAGCGTACCCAACAACACACCTCCCTGTGCTTGAGACACTTTGTGTCGTGGTACTGGGGACTGAACCCAGGGAGCACTGAGCTACGCCCTCAGACCTTTATTTACTTTTCATTTTGAGGCAGGGTCTTACTAAGCTGCCCCGGCTGGCCTCAACCTTGTGACCCTCTTGCCTCAGCCTCCCAAGTGGCTGGGGTCACAGGCATCGGCCGCTGCCCAACTAAGAAGGCAAACTCTGTTATGGTAATGCTTGCTGCAACCAAGAGAAAACAGTACGTGGGAGTGGAATTAAGATTGCAACAAACAGGCTATGGCCCCCACACCCTGAGCTCCTCCCAGCACCCCTGGGCAGCCTCCCTGATGACAAAGACCTCCCAGGTCCACGCCACGCTTTGTGCAGCCCCACCCAGGGTCCTAGTTGGCGCACAACATCACTCGAGGGTTCCGACTGCCAGCTCCGACAGCAGCCCGGGACGCAGTGCACGGATTTGCTTCCTGAAACCCAATGCATCTGTGATGGCCTCGGCATGGCTTCGGGAACCATGTCCACATCTATGTGTCATCTGTGTCCCCACGTGCTCACTGCTGTGTCCTCACACGTATCCCGTGTCCCCACACGTGCCCCCCATGGCCCCACGTGTCCCTCACGTGCCCACACACGGCCCGCGTGGCCCCACCTCATCATCATGCACCAGCTCCTTCTTCACCACCTTCATGGCGTAGATCTGGTCGTTCTTCTTCAGCCGCACCAGCAGGACCTTGGCGTAGCTCCCACGCCCGATGACTCTGATGAGGTCGAAGTCCTGCAGCCCGAGCCCCTGAGAGATTTTGATCCCGTCGACCCCGTCGATAACTGGCTTAAGGTCCTGGGAGCGGAGCAGGGTGGGGGACAGGACGCTGGCTGGGCTCCGGGCCTCCACACGCACTGCCTCCACCAAGGCCTTCGGCCCTGATGCCCACCCCAATCAGACCACACAGGTGCGGGGACAGTTCTGTGAGTGGTGAGGAGCCGGGCCCTAGCCCTGCCGGGTCAGGTAAGAGATGGCCCCAGCCTGGTCCCTGTCCTGGGCCACCTGGGTGGGACCGGGAGCCAGGTGGCGACTAGAGAGCCTGCCTAGCTGGAGTCACAGTCACTGGAGCTCCGTGAAGGAGGCAGGCAGGAGTGCACATGGGAGGGCGGGGGCTGGGGGCTGGGCTGTGACCCAGGGCTCGGAGAGACCGGAGTCCCGAGGGGGATGTGTGGGGCCAGCCACACACGGATGGAGCAGGACCCCACAGAGAGGTCCCACCTGGCCGGGGACACAGGGAGCACTTGCTGACAGCTCCGTCACCACCCAGAATCGAGCTCATGGCTCCTGACTGGGCTCTGAAAGGCAGCTGGGCCCCTCACACTCACCTCAGAATCATCTTTAATGTTGTCGTGCTTGCGGGTTGAAGAGATATAAGCAACTACCGGAGAGACGGAAAGGAAAGGGCGTTACAGGTGGCGCCGGGAACATGGCCCAAGGACACGGGGACATGGTGGCCAGGCCAGGCCAGCAGTGCTCAAGGCGCAGCCACTCGGGGCTCTAGTTCAGCACCGTATGAGGACGCAGCTTCTGGGCGCTTGAAGGTTGACTCTGCCTGCTGACCTGGGCCTGCGCTGGTGACTGTTTCCCCGGGGACTCACCTAGGGGTAACAGAACCTGCACCAGAGCATGGGCTCGGGACCTATAGCTCATCCTAGGGTGGAAACACCTCCAGGCGCCTGCTCTACCAAACACTGTGACAGGAGTACTCAGAGCGGCTCCTTCAGCCCTCAGCTGAGCGAGATGGTCTAACATGAACCCCTTTATAACAAAGTGGGGCATCCCAGGGACCCACTGAACCCCGCACTGAATGCAAAGACCAGAATGGCCCTGTGTGTGTGTGCCCTGAAGTTGAAAATCGTAAACAATATGTTAGGTCTGGGAATACCTGTAGGTACCGATTTTGGTGTCCAGCCTTCAGCCTTTCTCCTAAGGCCTCGCAAGCTGGGTGTGGAGGCATACTCTGGAAACCCCAGCACTCTGGGAGGCTGAGGCAAGAGGATGGAAAGTTTGAGCCCAGCCTGGACAACTTAGTGAGACTTTGTTTCAAAAATTAACAATAAAAAAGGACTGGGGATGAGGCTCAGTGTGAAGGCTCTGGATTCAATGCCAGTAAAGCGAAAAAAAATGTATGCCAGTGGATGCAGTGGGTGCATGAGTGGATGTTTGTCTGTCTTATGGATGGGTGGAGGATGGACAGATGGGTGATGGATGGGTGGGTTGATAGGTCAATGGCTGATAAATGGATGATGGGTAGGTTAGAAGACAGATAGATAGGCAGATGGATAGACGATGCCTGCATGGGTAGATGGACAAGCAGATGAACAATGGACAGATGAGTGGATGTGAGTGGATGGGAGGGTGGGTGGGCAGATGGATGATACGAGAATGAATAGATGGGTGAGTGGATGGGTGATGGATGGGTAGGTGGATGGATCATGGGATGGGTGGGTGAATGGATGATGGATGGATGGTGGATGGATGAGTGCGTGGACAATGAATGGGTGGGTGGAGGGATGAGAGATGTGTGAGTGGATGGACGGTGGATGGGTGGGTGGAAGGATGGTGGATGGTCTGTGGGTGGGCCGCTGTGTATTAGGAGTTTGTGTGAAGTGCTGTACTAAGTGTTTCATGTTCTGTGATCTTTGCTTCATCCTTCAGACCCCTCTAAGGTGACAGACTTGCTCTCTAAATGAGGCTCAGGGCATTCAAATACCTGTGTAAGAGTCCACGAGTGAGGAAGTCTGGACCTGAGCCATCTGCCAATTCACATTTGAAACCTCTCTGAATGTTCCTTAGCATTAAAAAAGCCCCACAAAATGCCAAGGGCCATGCAGCCGCCCCACCTGTGTGCGGCAGCCCTGCACTGTCCAGGAGAGCCGCACCACGCAGCACCCAGATGAGGAGGCCCTGGCCACAGTGCTGCTGCTAAGTCTTTCTGGACTCCCCAAGTTCGTGCAGGGGACAGACCCTCAGCTCGGGTTCCCATGGCAGCCCAGCACCCACAGGTGAAGGCCCGGGCCCACCCATCCTGCTAGGGGCTGAGGTGACACCCTGCACAGCGCTGTCCCCATTCCTGCAGGAGGCACCAAGCTCACCAGCCCCGGGAGCAGGCAATCAGGAAGGGGCGGGCAGGTGGCCTTCTGGGCCACAGGGGGCTGGGCCTGGGGCAGAGGCACCTACTTCCATCGGTGTCCTCGGAGGGCAGGTCCACGCCGTCACTCTTCTCGTCTGCGGGAGGCTCTTGGGAAGGCATGACAGAATCCTGCAGCGAGACCACAGTGTCACTAGGGCTACAAGTACAGGCAGCAGACACCGTGTGGGTTTTGTGACCATGTTCTACAACGTGTGCATGGCTGCACATTATACAGAACATGCCTGACAGGCTACTGAACTGGACATGCAAAGAACGCATAAGTGGCTGCAGTTCTAGGGGCAGAGGTGACGCTCGGCACCAGAGGCTGTGGTCCTCCCAACAGGTGCTCCGTACATGGCGATGGTGCCCTGCCCATGTGCGTCCCAGCCTCATCCCAGCCTCATCCCAGCCAGGCTTGGGCCCCACGCAGCTGACCTGTCGTGGACACAGTCACGCGCTGGGCTTCTAGGTTCCAAGCACTGGCCTCCCTCCCCTCCCACTGACCAGTCCCTGGGGCTGCTCTCATTTCCTCAGGCTGAAGTGGACCTGTTCGGTCAAAGGAAAATGCCCCTTCCTGGTCTCTGGTAGACACGGCGGAGGACGCCTAGCAGCACAGACGGTGCCGGCTCACCAGTGCGGTCTGCACGGGCATCTCCACCCAAGCACTCCGGGAAGACCGGGCCAAGACTGGATTTGACCTGCCCTTGTCTGGCAGAGGTGCAGGCACGCACCAGGGAGGCATCGTCTTCTGCACACCGCACCAAGACGTGGATGTGCCAGCCCCCCAGCCGTGGCCCTGGCCCTGGAGGACTCCGGCCAGGTGGCCACTGTGGCCCAGTGGGACTTGGGTGGCCAGCAGGAAGCATGGATGCTGGGGAACCTGCCGCCGAAGCACCTGGCTCTCAAGCGAAAATGCTCCAGATGGTGCCCTTGTGGTGCAGCCCTCAGAGAGTGCTTAAGACCTCCCTGGAGATCAGGACGAGGGGTCCTGGCCCAGACCCTGCCCCGGTCATTGCGCAGTGCAGAGGCAGCCCCAGCAGGGTGTCGGGCAGGACTCACCATATGCCTTCTGCAGGTCAGCGGGACGAGCACGTGGCAGCGTTTATGGACCAGCAGCTTGCAGTTGATGCATCTGTAGCCTTGCCGTGAGAGGCCCCATATCCTTTCGCTGCACTGGCCGCAGTACGCCCGCTGCAAGGAAGGCAGGTGGGAGGCTGGCATCAGGTGGGCGAGGGCCCTCGGGGGTGACAGGGCAGGGCCTGGCCCACCCACCTCAGCAGCAGGGGCAGGGGTGACCCTTGCCGGCCAAGTCCCCTCCACACAGTGCCTGTCCGTTCACGCAGGGAGGCCTTGGAGTGACCGCTGCACTCTGCTTGGGAAACTGTGAGCTGCAGGAGGGCAGCTGGCCAGCCCCTTGGTTTTCCCTTTCCTCATCTTTCTGGATTTTAATTGACCCCTCTTTGCTCTGCTTGTTTGGTGATGTCTTCTTGAATTTTTATATTTTCAAAATGGCAGAGAATGAATGTCTTCTGAACATGTGCATGAAGTCCCTTTGCGGTTATGCAGCATTTGCATCCTCGGCAGGGACGTGGGTCCCCACCTGGAACCTTTCCAGTTGTGACTCCCATGCGCCCCTGAGCTCCTTTACATTCCTAACACAGCTCTGGCTTTCGGACAGCCTCACATCACCCCACATGAGGAATGGGAACAGTCTGAACTAATTCATTTAAGACGACAGACATGACCCTCCCACAGGGCCACGGGGCGGTCCTGTTCACTGCACCAACCCGCACCAGCCTGGGGGAGGCGCCGTGCGTGGGTGGCCAGAGGGGGAAGCCAGACTCCCACCAGGGAGGAGCAGGCCACAGGACCAGCACAAGGACAGTGCCGGTCCAGGGGGTTCTGATAAACACCTGTCAGGACAAGAAAACTCAGGCTCGCACACATGTGCACGTGCCACTGCTTTTAACTTCGGTACTAAGGAGAAAAAATAATTTATTCCAAGTCTTCACACGGTCCCTAAATCATCTTTCTACAAGGGAATCAAGCCAGGCTTGCGGTTTATCTGGAACGTTTCAAAAGGCAGAGCTGCGGTGCAGGGCTGAATGGGACCGGGGGGGGGGGCGGCCAGGCCAGCTTGGTGCCAGCCCTGGACTGTCCAGAGGCACAGGTGGGAGACGCTGGCACTCCAGGCAGGCAGGCTGCTTTCCCTCTTCCACATCGACAGCCCCGAAGAACACCAGTTACTGTTTCTGAGACTGTTTAATACACAGCCATGCTGGTGACCTCACGTGCTGAATGTGCTCAGCCTTTGCCCCGTTACCATCTAGCGCTGTGATCTGCAATGCTTGGGTCACATCTGGGGGCGCGTTCACAGCCACCAGGTATCCTTACAGCTGACAAAGATCTGTACTTGAATCACTAACATCCCAGAAAGCATGCCGTTATTTAGCTCAGTGGACCCGAGTTCGATCCCCAGTACCAAAAAACCCCAACAAAACAAAACAAAACCTGAACCCCTGTTTCTATTCTCAGTAATTCATGTTAACAGCTTAACAGATTAATGGGATAAAATGTTTTAAAGTCTATCTTACATGCTGCCAGTTTGCTCCTCGCTCACATTTTCAACAGTCTTTTTTAATTTTTTAAAGACGTAACTACTTTTTAAACATCCACGCCATCTATGCCCTGTCAGGGTTCTGCCACTGGGTGTCCAGGACGCCCAGTTTCTCACCACTTACCTACCTGCGTTTGTGCCTGCCGGCCACCAGGGGCACTGCAGGGCCAGGCCCACTTACGGGACGAACTGGGCTAGCTAGCGGCCTGTGTGAGGCCCAGCTTGAGCTCCCTTCTTTTCCCATGAAGGATAGGGGCAGCCTCCGCTCCCATCTGTCCACAGAGCCCAGGACTGCAACCACTTTAACGCCACTGGTGGGTGGAGGCAGCCCTGCACCTGCTGCCTTGGGCTGCGATCATCTCAGTGAAGGGCAACTCGGAACTCGTGGGTCAGACCTGGCCTGGCCGCTTGTGAGTTTCCCAAGAACACAGCCACCGTGCCTGCTAGTCGGCCACCACGGCAGCCCTGCGCAGCTTCAGCAGAGCTGCCTCTGGCCAAACCTTAACTCCCTTCCTTCGCAGGAAATGCCCGCTCCCCAGCTTTAGCTCCTTAGACCAAAGAGCTCAGGAGAAGCCCTTGATGGACTGCCCAGGTCATCTGTGAACATCCCTGCACCAGCCCCGATGAGGCCACAGTCCTCAGATGGCCCAACAGCTGGCCCTGCAGCACGAGTGGCTCAGCACGACCCAGCTGGGGACCCTGGCTGCTGCGGGGTGGCTTGGTCAGCAAAGGGGCCACCTCCTCTTCCTCCTGCGCAGACCCCTGGATGGTGGGTCCTTCCTTTGGAGCAGGCACAGTAGAGGGGTGCTGCTATTTCCTAACCACTGTCTGGAGAGCAGGGCCCATGCCTGCACCTGCCCCAGGCCACATGGACTCCACTGCAGCCAACAGCAACACGTTCTGCACCAGTTACCCATGAGAGTCCCGGGCCCATGTCCATTACAGGTGTTTTAATTAACCATCCAGGTCCTTGCTCAGTCCGGCATTTCCAAGATGCCGATCTGCAGGCCCTCCTTAGCACCAGCGAGTGTACTGTCTTGGTGTGTTATTCTTCTAGGGTTTGCTTGGAAACTGCAGACACTGGGAGGCTCCTCTGTTCCCCACTGCCCAGTTTTTCTCTAGAGACCTGCAATGCTTCTAGTTTTCAGGGTTTTCCTGCAATTTACTTCAAAGTGAGCGACAGAGCTGGGGGCAGTGCCTCCCCACCTGCTTCCTGGCCCCTGATTAACCAGCAGCTGCCTCTACTGACCCGACCGCGCTCCCTGGCTCGGGGCCAGTGGGGCTCCAGGTCTCCAGGTCTCCCACCATCCAGGTCTGGGGACCACAGTGTCACCTGCGGTGCTTTCCCTTTCGGAAGCTGAACAGAGGTCCAAATGCAGAGCCAGACCCAGGCATGGAGCCGTGGGGCCCGAGGGACCTGCTGGGGAGCAAGAGCTTGGGAAATGCTCTTCCTATGGGCATCTTCCCTCGACATGGGCTGGTTCCCAGAAAACCAACCTCTTGGGAGTGAGCACGGGTTTGTGAGTGGTTCCATAACCCAGTGACTGGGCACAGCACAGTCCCGGAGGACTGGGCAGACCCTGGCAGCAAGGCAGCAGACAACTGGGTCAGAAACACCAGCAGGTGACAGCCTCGCACTCCCCCGACCGTCTCCCTATTTTCTGAAGGACCGAGTTGCGGCTCAGACTGGTCCCTCTGCAGCTGTTTGTGAAACCTGCCCGTGAGTGCTGGGGTGAGCACTGCAGACCCCCCGCCACCCAGGTGGGCTCACGGTGCTGCCCGGGGCCTCCTCCCTCCAGGGCAGTGGCTTTCACCCCACCTGGCCGGGCCCTGCGGAACTCCATGTTCTCACCAGACACACAAGCCACCTGCCCCTACCCACAGAAACCTCCTTGAGCCCCCGTGGCACTGAACCCTATGGTTCTCCACTGTCTATCCTGGCACAAAATCCTCACCCCTGGTGGATGCCCTGTTCCTTACTGGTCCCAGAGCAAACATCCCTCCCTGCCCCACAACTTGCTTCTGATCTTGAGCTAGAAGCAGGGTCAGTGTGTCATGTGCACCTCCCATGGCCAGGCAGGGGGACCTGGGCTCGACAGGACAAAGCCTGAGACACAGCGGTATGTACCCCGAGCAGCGAGAGACATCAGCAGCGAGGGTGGACAAGGGCAGCAGGATGTGCACAGCCACGGTCTCGGGTCCCACACAGACCCCTGTGCCAGCCATACCTCCAGGCACAATCATGTGCTCCTCCTCCAGGAAGCCCATGGGGCTCTTGGCAATGCCCACCCTGTCTTCCTGTGTGCTAGCCTTTCTGCAGCCCAGTGCCCTCACCTCTGACCCTACCGTGCCAGCTCCTACGGCTGGGGGGCAGCACCTCGGGTTCTTGGCTGGTAAGACAGGAGTGGCTCACACCCACAGACGTGCCAGGGCCTGAAGGGCAGCGTTGCCATGGGCAACCTGGGGCTGCTCCAGACGTGCAGGGGGTGATGCCGAGCCCTGGCTGAGGAGGCCACATGGCAGGAGAGCGTAGCGCGAGGCCGGCAGCAAGTACACAGCATATCCACTCCTCTCACCCCTGCCGCGGTTAAGGAAACAGGTGTGGGTAGCAGGCCGTGGGGGCTCAGGGCAGTGACACGGGCACCGTCAGGCTCTGTGCAGTGTGCAGAGGGGATACCACTCCCGGGGCAGGACAGGGTCTGGACCCTCTCGCCACAGTGCCGTCCGGGTCAGCTTCATGCTGGAGCGGAGTCGCCCGCCATGAAGAGAAATGAGGGCCACTGAGTGAAGCCTCCTCGGGAAGTGCACTGGGAGGCCACTGGTGGCCACAGGAAGGACAGAGTATGCGTGGGTTGGCCTGGGGTTTCGGGGGTCAGGGAAACCCCACAGCCCCTTCTGGACCTGAGGAGGCCGGAGCCTCAGAGTCCTGGTGCTGGTCCAGGGTCACATAACCAAGGACGGCCAAGGACATGGAGGAGACTGGGGCACACGCCCAGGGCCACTGCCCCGGGAGCCACATGGCCTCAGAACGTGCCCGAGAGCGGCTGTGCGTGTGTGTGACAGAGCACAGGAGCCAGCTCTGCTCAGGACTCCTGCACTGCGCGCAGGGCTGCAGGCTGGCAGGGCGTGTGCTCTCTTCTCTCTCGTTCGAGCGACGCCGAGGGCCCGTGGGAGGCGGTGCTGAGGGACCACTCACCCTGTTAAAGCGCTTGGCTTGGAAGAGATGGCCGTTGGCACGGTAGAGCTTCCTCCATCTTCTGGCTCCACGGCGGTAGATGGATTCTACCAAGGAGACGAGAGACACGTGAGCAGCGGCAGGGCGGCGTGGAGCTGCTCCCGTCTCGGGCCCAGCAGCCCCTCCTCACATGACCTTGCTCCTGACAGCCAGGCAGGGGCATGGGGCCCAGACCAGGCTGGGCAGTGGCAGGGTGACAGGGCATCACCACAGGGCGGGCAGGGCCCTGTGAGGACGGTCACCCACCCAGCCCAGCGATGGGCCTCCAACCCCACTGAAACCGGCTGGATTTCCTGCCTGCCCTCCTTCCCTCTGGGCAGCTCCATGAATACCAGACCCCTTTTCCCACAGAGACAGGGCTCAGGCGAGCCGATATTTACAGAGCTCCAGGCCAGGAGCGAGTGGACGCCATGCCGCCAGCCTAAGAGGCACAGGGTGCTGGCATCCTGTCCTGGGCTCACCAGACAATCCCAAATCCTGGCCAATCCCAGCAGGGGAAGCCAAGCCCACCACGCACTTATTTCGAATCACAGCTGACCAAAGACACCATTCCGTAGCTTGCACTCAACAGTCCGCCCTGGTGGGGAGACACGGCTTGCTAAAATGCGGGAGGAAAACGGACTAGAACCGCTCCGTCTGCTGCTCCCCGCTCTGCGGCCGAGCACTTCGAAACACTCGGACCCGGAGACAAAACCTTCAGAAATACAACGCACAATGAGGAGCTTTGTGCTTTTATAAAATTCTCTAGCAAAAGCGACTTTCATGAGGCTAATGAAAGTGCCACAAATATACTAAAGTGGAAATTGTAATGGAATGTTTTTAAAACAAGCAAATGACCGACTCTGGCTGGAAACTGGTAAAATCAGGTAATAGGGATTGTAAAACCTGCTTCTCTCGCTTGAAGTAGAAGGCTCAGTGAGGAGCCAAGATGTTGGGGTTCCTGTGGGAGCTGGAGGGACCCAGGCCCACAGCTGAGATGCCAGGCCACCTAGACCCCTGGGGCCTTGCATGTAGTTTCCACGGCCCCTGATCGGTGGCCTGGGCTTGGCAGAGGCCAAGTGTGGCTGGTGAATGCTGAGGGGTCCCCGCCCAAGTGAGGCCCCGACAGCACCGGGGCCAGGCTGCAGAGCACAGGCCAAGTCGCCACCCGCTGCACCCCTGGCCTCGGGCCCAGGCCAAGGCAGTGTGCCACCAAGCGTGGAGAGCCCTGTCCATCTGCCCACAGCCCTTCAACCCCGGGAGCCCCGTGTCTGCTCACAAGGACAGGGTGCGTCCCTTGGGGACACCTGGCGCAGACGAGGCCCCTGCCCCACATCTGCAGGCCTGATGTCCTCCCATGGCCCCTGTGCCCCTCATCCCAAAGGACAGTGTGTGGAGTGGCGGGGACATAGGGTCAAGGTGACGCTGAGCTAGAGTTTCCAAAGCTGAGGTCGGGGGTCACGGCCTGGCAGGAATCCGCAGGGTGGGCAAGGCCATAGCTGGGTGCTCAGAGTGACAGGTGCCCAGGGATGCACGGCTCCCTGTGAGCACCAACTGGACTCCCAAATGCACACAATGAGCCCAGCTGTGAGCGGCACCGCGTCTGGAGACGGCGCTGAGGGGGATGAGGAGGCAGAGGCAGGACGTGGGCACCGCCTCAGGGACCCCAGCACCCAGAGTGTTGCTCCCCTCCCCAGGCCCAGCCTCCCAGCCCTGGGCTCCTAAGCTGCCCAGGCTCCAGATTCTGCCAAGCAGCCTGGATGGACTAAGGAGCCCTGACATCACACATGGATTTGGCCTCTCGGAACCTAAGGGTTTAAAATGACCAAAAAAACGATAAAGTGATTTTCTCCTTTTAGAAAATCATTTCGAAAAGAAACGATTTCCCCTCTTTTGGGAAAAGATCGTGACACTGGCAGAAAACCCTGACAGCCAAAAGCACAGTTAACAGCTCAGGGTGAGCACACCTGACCACACGCAGCACAGGTGAATGGGGGGGGGGGGGACGCTGCAGCGAGGTCTCTGGGGCCACACAGCAGGGGGCGAAGGCTCAACAACTCGGGTGCTAAAGGACCCTGTGGATCAACAGAAGCAGGAAATGGGAAGAGGCACTTCACAGAGAACAGAGGGTGAATGCGAGAGGCAACTCTGCCTTGCAGCCACCGTGGAAATGCAGGGGCCTGGCTGAGGGCCCCGGGCCCAGGGGCTCCCACACCCCCGTGTTGGCTGAGGCATAGGACAGCTGTGCTCCTGAGGGCTGAAGTCACAGGGAAGCGAGTGCCAGAGGAGGTTTGCTCTGGGGCCCAGGAACACCACCGCTCTTCAGGGGGAGCTTTGCAGAGTCTTGGAGCACCTGGGAGGCCTCATGGCCCAAAGGTGCACAGTGTCCAGGCAACAAGGGTCGCTGTGACCCCACATCCAGCCACACTCAGCACATCCTCCAACGCAAAGACCCGATGTCACTATCACAAAGCTAACAGCAAAGTAGCTGCAGTGTAGTGTAAGAATGCGGCCACTCGGTGGGGCTGCCCTGGTGAGTGCACCATGAATTCCAAGCTCCGGAGGTGGCCTCTGGGGACAGACAGCACGAAGACCGTGGACCTGGGCCAGCTGCCTCTGGTGGCTTCGAGGGCGCGTGTGTCTGCGGCCCTGAGACGCTCCATGGGTTACCGTCCTCCACTGGCTGCTCACAGGTGGACGTCCGCCCAGGGCGACTTCTCCTGTCCACTTGGCAGGCTGTGGTCCCGATATTGTTCAAATGTTCTTCAGGATGCGCCAGTGAGGGTGTGTGGATGAGACAAACAGGAAAGCCATGGGCTCTGAGTAAAGCTGGGGCCTCCTCCAGGCAGGTAAGCCTCATCTAATCAGCCAGAGCCTGGAACAGAGCTGGGTGGCCTCCCCTGCACAGGGCAGATTCGGTCTTCGCTGAGCAGGGACGTCCAGGACAGAGCTCTCTTCAGTGCAACCGGCTGGCCCTGGGCCTCAGGCCAGCTCTGTGCACAGGGTTTCCTAACCCCCGGCCCCAGGGCACACTCTAGGGAAGGCATGGCACAGGCCCTGGCGGGGACCCTGGGATGCCCCCCACAGGAGGAGTCCCAGCAACAGTGGCACTCTACACCTCACTCTAGGTGGTCCTGACTCCAGGTCTGCAGGGGCAGGGACACCGTGCCAAGCGCTGACCTGGACAGTGCCTCTCACAGCTCGGCTCTTCTCTGAGGGACTGACTTCTAGACAAGGCCAAGGTCCATGGAGCCTGCAGACAGCACGGAGCCCACAGAGCCCAACTGCTGGTCATTGAGGCCTTTTCTTACCTCACGGCACCCCAGGACCCACGTGACCTTCAGTCCTGAGTCTCCTGGCTCCCCTCGGCTGGGACAGCCCCAGACAGCCCTGTCCTCAGGGACCCCACGGGGTCCAGGGAGTTTCTGGGTGTTTGTGTGATGTCCTTGCCCTGACTTTGTCTGCTGTTTCTCCTGGGCTTGGCCGGGGTCATGGCCTCCTTGCTTCTGAATCAGATGAGCACCTGGATTTCTGCCAGGTGTGCTGGCACACACTTGTAATCCCAGCACTTGGGAGGCTGAGGCAGGAGGATCACTGCAAGTTCCAAGGTAGCCTGTGCTACATAGCCAGACCCTGCATCACAAAAACCCAAAACAGGGCCAGGGATTTAGCTCAGTGGTTTCACTGCCTGCTGCACAGGCACAAGGACCCATGTTCAATGCCCGGTACCAAAAAAAAAAGAAAAGAAACCCAAAACAAAACAAAACCTTTCAAAAATAAAACCTGGATTTCTACCACAGCTGCAATTGGCAAAAGCTAGAAACTTGCAAATCACACAATTTGCTGGAAGCTTCTCTGAGTGCAGGGGCTGAGGTGCAGAGTCCTCTGGGACACTGGGTGGAGTGGGCACCAAGCACCACCCTCCCCGGGGCTGAGGGACACTGCCGCCCCGTCCCGTGCAGGCCAGCTGTGCTTTCAGGACCTGGGTTTCTCCTGGAAGTGACAGCCCTGTGCCTGACCTGAGTGAGAATCGCACTGAATGGGGGGTGTCACTGAGCCCCCACACTGTGACATGCAAGGCTATCATCCACCCGCTCACCTGTCCATCTCAGTGAGGTAGATCCCTGTGGAAAAAGGACTCAGAATCTGGGCACAACAGTAATCCCACCACTCTAGGAGTCTGAGGCAGGAAAACTGCAACTTTGAGGCCAGCCTGGGCAACTTAACAACTTAGTAAGACCCTATCTCAAAATAAAAAATTCAGAAAGTGAGCTGAGGGTGTTGGTCAGTACAAAGGCCCTGGGTCCAATCCCCAGCTCCCTTCTTCCCCCCCGAAGAAAGAAAACGGTCAGAGACAAGGTGGGTCTGGTGGGGGTCTGGATGTCTGGCACAGTGGACAGGGCACTGGTGGGGGTCAGACCCTCCGTCCGGGCCGTGTGTGTCAGGGCCAGGCTCTGGGAGGGGCAAGGAGGAGCCAGTTCAGTGCCACGTGCCAGCCGAAGACACGGCCTGCCACTCCTGGTGCCAGCGTGGTGAACAAGAAGTAGAGAACGTGTGGGCTGCTTCTCTTTCTCTTGTAGCCTTAACTCCAACAACCTCAGAGCTCTTTGCTTGCCTTTGAAATTCTATAATTAGGCTGGTTGCAGGAATTTTAACAAGCTCCATTTCCATGGCAATCTAGCATCTTGAGCACTCTGACAAGGCGGAATGAAAAAACACATTGAAAAACGCCAAGCTCCAAGCAATAGGCTGTGAAAGCAGCCAACGCCATCCTTCGGGTGGGCGGGAGGAGCATGGATGCGGCCAGCTCCAGCAGCAGCCAGGACAGCCCCAGGACAGCCCCAGGGCTCCCGAGACCCTGGCCATGGCCCGACCACACGTGTGAGGAGCACAGGCCCTGTGGCTGGTCCCAGGGTGGGTGCGCGTCTGCGGTGGAGCCTCCTGGAGAAGCGGGGCCGCTGCAGTGGCCTGGGCCAGCAACAGTGGACATGGAGGCAGGAGCTGGCATGGGAGGGTGGGTGCTGCCCCTCCAATGGCCATGCCACACCACGCCAAGCACCGGCCTCCT